GGGGGGTAAAAAATAATATTTAACTTGTAATATATCAATTAAGTAGTCTACGTATCCCTTACTTTAAGAATCAAAGTCCTCGTAGTTCTCTCACTTTATTTGTTTACCTTGATAAAAATGATTGAACCGACGCTAAAGTAATCGAAGTTATATGTCTCGTAGTCATTTTCATTTCCAGCGGTTCCACGAGTATTGTCGAAATTGGACGTCTCTTCTTCTCCATCATCTTCAGCAGTTAACATTGTCGTTTGTGCCCTCATTTCAGCCTTCTTTCAGTCACTAAGCATTTGAGCCACCAGGTTTTGTGGCGTCTACCTTAGCCATCGTGCGTCTTTGTTCAAGCGCCACTGTTAAGGTCGGGACAACAAATCTCATTGGTCATCAAGCTTGGAATAGGATAAATAGGAGTCATCTTTGACCACCTATCCAATATGTCGAATTTTTGTGGTTGGATTTGTTCACGAGCAATTGTAAGTATCAATTTTGTAGTGATTGAGCTCATTGTATCTATTCCTCTTTGCCCTTTGGATCTTAGCAATTTTGGAGGGATTAAAACGGTCTTCCCACGAGTCACCAAAGTTTTCGGCATCGCACGTCGTTTGTCCTCAAGTTCCATAAGAAGAAGACTTGGAAGCATTAGAACAAAATGACATCGGATTTTCCCCGAGTCCGATTAATCTTTCCATAAACAATTCATACAATAAATGTTTTGCTTGCTAGACAAGTTGTCGTGCATTAGGTCTTGCACTAGTAGCCGTAGCATAAGTGGAAAGTAGGAGTTGATACATATTATATAATGTGTGTGAAGATGGTTAAGCAAGTCATTTTTATGTAATGACGAATCTAACGAAAATGCAACTAATAATGTATCAAGAATGAAAAAATATATATTAACCTTTTTCATAACATATACCTTACAAGTTTGTCGTGTTTGTCAGGATTAGTAGCAAAGTATCTCTAAAACCCTACATAGGGCTACAAATTAAACTTACACAAGTTGAATAGTAAGATAGTAAACTTTAAAAAGTACGTAAGTAGCATCTTGAAATGTTTTCAATAAATTCAAAAGTGTTTAAAAATATAGCTAATTAGTGACAGCAACGGCGACATCACAATCCTTACGTTGAGAACTATTAAAAACTCCATCTAATTTAAAAGAAAACGCAAAATATTTCATTAACATTTTTTTAAGTTAAATTCCAACATGTTAGAACGTCTAATTGGATTTTTTTTAAGTTAAACTCCATTTTTTTTTGTTATTTCTTGTGGACGACAAAATAAGTAAGTAACGGAATTCCTAATAGGCGTAATCAACTTTTTCAAAGCCTGATAAACCGCTCGAACATAAAGATTAAAAAAATAACACATACACCCAATATGAAAAAAAATTCCCCCACAAAGGGGAAGACAAATTTTTCTTAAGCTCATTTTAAACGCAGTATTAGTACTAGCCTTATCAAAAAAAATGGAAAAAGGTTTTTGCCAATTCTATAACTATTCAAGACACATGAAATTATACAAGTGATATTATAAGTATTGTGAGCATTAAAAACCCTCGTTTAAGTAATTAAACATCTTTGTAATGTAAACTATCATCTAACCAATGTCAAGTAATTCCCGTGTAAGAATTATCTTGCCGATGGTCGGATCAAATGTCATAACAAATAGCAATTCTTTTGTTTTAAAGCTCCAAAAGTTTGTGCCAAATTTAATTTTTTCTCACTCACAATTTTTTGAATATCACGATTGAGAGTAGTATGTGGAACCTGATACACAGCCACGCTTAAAGACATTTGAGTAAAATTTTCAAATAAATTGAAATCAACAAAACTGAAAGGAAGAGAAGAATTGGAAATGAATTCAACTAGTTTTTGCTACGGTTTTCATGAGAGTATTGAAATAAAGTGAAAGGAATACTTGTGGATGAAGTGCTACGCTTAAGGGATTGGGAATTGCGTATGTGGTTGGAGAATCCCCATTTCGTCCAGATGATGTCAAAGTATGTGATGTTGCATCGTTCTGTACCCATCGTTGGTTTGAAAGCGTACTTCTTTTTGGCATTAGTCGAACAATGGTTGCAAATACATATAAAATGTTCACTTTTTTCCTCATTGGGCACCTTCGTGAAGTGTTGTGTGAACATCGTGGATTACAACCCTTGACCCCTGTAGGCGGCTACCCGAGCTTGTTGAGGTTGTTGATCTCCTCCACCTTGAGTAGGATCAAAATAGTCATTGCACGGTTGCTCCCGGTTCATTTCATTCTCATCGAACTGTAAGCTATAGTGGATTTCCTGAATAGACTGAAAGCGGCGGTGGACTGTCTTGGGCTCAACGTAATTGAGAATACCCCAAACATCCAGTATACTGCCTGTCTCTGCATCCATAATAGAGGTCTGCTCGAAGAAGATTCACCTATATTTTTACACTTTTATGGTGGCCGATCACCTGCACGATCGCCACTACGAGAACTCTACATTTTATGACTATACTAGATTTTATAAAATACAGAAGGTAAGTGAAAAATGATAGAATTAGAACGGAAGAGTAATATGTAAAGAAGTAACAGAACCGGAATCGAAATGAGATTGAATATATAGAATCGAGAATTTGGGATTAAATTTATATCGAATCGGACAGGCTTTATAGAAAATCGAGCAGGAAAACTAAATATTAACACTTCAAGAACATAGAAATGAGTAGAGAAGAGAGAAAGAATGTGGTAAATGGTGTGATGGTGTGAAAATCTGCTTTAGGATTGGGAGGGGGTCTATTTATAAGATTTCTTTTTAAATTTTTTTCGATTTATTTTTAATTAAGGGACTCTCAAATCCTAGTTGGCTGGTCGAGCCAGACAGGTGATCCGAATCGTGATCGTTGGATCTCGACGGTCAAGATGATCCAACAGTCATATTTGAAAAACTCATTTTTGGCGGTTCCGAGAAGGCCAGTTCGAACCCGGAATTAAAAAAAAAAAATCGAAATCTTGTAGTTGGATCTCCAACGGTCAAAACTACGAGTTGGCTTCCAAGCCTATTGACTACGGGCCGATTCAGGGCCAGTTCTGGCCGACCAGGAGGGCCAAGTCGGGTCGTGGTCATTTCTTACTAGTACTCATATCAGGTGCCAAGGAAAAATATTGTAAATCATATATATGTATATTGTATTTAAAATCATAAGTTATTAAGTTATATTATGAACATGTCACATTTAATAAATTTCTTCATTAACAAAAACTTGTACTCTTTTACCCACACATGCACGTACACGACAATAACCTTGTTTTTTTTCAATTGGCCATTTATAAAGTTATCAGTATAACTACTGTTTTGGTCATCTTTTGATTATTATTATAGGTTCGGTTCGATTCGGTCAAAACGGAACCCTATATGATGGTACCGATACCAAACCAATAATCCTTTGATAACTGGTAATCCGTTAGCGTTACAAGCGAGTCGGTACGGTTTGGTTTGTTTTCTGGTCAGTTAGGTCTAGTTTATTTTATCGTCGGTTCAGTTCGCTTTTTATTTTTTAGTAAAAAAAAAAAATTGTCACTCCAAGATAAGTAGATAGCTTAAAATCACTCTTACTTATGTAGTAGTATAGATAGATAGATAGATAGATAGATAAAGAGATAGATAGACAGCTTTAGATGGATAGATAACTAAAATGATATATTGTGTCGAGATATGCAGGTTTTTCAAAGAGTGTCCACATCCGGACGAGAGGCAAAGAGCAGACCTTAGTCTTGAACTTGGGATGGAGCCCATGCAAGTCAAATTTTGGTTCCAAAACAAGCGCACACAAATTAAGGTACCTAACCTATGCACATATATATGTATAATAACAACAACTGAAGGTTTGTTTAATTAATAATTCCACATAGACACAACATGAACATAAAGAGAACACCTTGCTTCGAACTGAGAACGAAAAGTTGCGGGCCGAAAATATGAGGTACAGGGAAGTCCTAAGCAATGCTTCTTGCCCTACTTGCGGTGGCCCAACACCCATACGAGAAACATCCTTTCACGAGCAACAATTAAGGAACGAGAATGCTCGTTTACGTGAAGAGGTAATCACGGTTATAATAATTAATTAATTATGCATCCTCTTAGATTTGAATAAAAGCACAACATTTTTAAAAGATTCATTGAACTATGTATATATATTTTCTTCTAAAAGCTCAGTTTCGTCTCTCCACCCATATAGATTGATCAAATTTCTTCCATGTCCAAGTACGTGCCGAACGCAGTTGGAAATTTCAGATCGACATTGATAGCTAGCAATTTGAGGAGAACCAACCCGAACCAAATTGAGGGGTCGAAGACGGTGATGGTGGAGCTTGTTACCGCGGCCATGGAGGAGCTAATGAGGATAGCTCAACTTGGGGAGCCATTATGGGTGCCAACCATGGACCGGAACACAACCTTGTCTTTGAACGAACAAGAGTATTTGAGATCATTTTCTAGAGTGTTTGGGCCTAAACCAAATGGGTTCAAGTCTGAGGCTTCTCGGGAAACGGTTGTTGTTGCTATGAGTAGCGCCAAGGTTATCGAGATCCTCATGGATGTGGTACACACATATTCACTCTCTTTATTTACTTATTTTATTAGATTAGGAACATCGGTGTCACACATATCAAGTCATTAAACTTGTCGAGGAAGGTCTGTCGGTTATTTTGTTTTTGTTCACTTGTAGTCGTTGTATCTGTTGTGTTTAAGCTTTTTGCCTGTGTTTCGTTTGCTTGAGTTTGTGCTAGTGCTGTTTTTGGTCTTGTATTTTTTGTTTGGACCATTTGGTCTCAGTGAGCCCGGGTGCAAACTTATTATCCTGTTGGGACCCGCACCCGGGTATTCTCCTGTTGGGAGCGTTTTAGTTGTTTTAGTTTTGTTTGTGTTTGGTGTTTCTGTTTCCGGTTAGTTAGTCGCGAGTTTTTCTATTCTAGCGTTGCTAGTCGAGATTCTAGGCGGTCTTCTGACTTGTCCTCCCACTTTTCAGCTGTTGGTTGCTTGTATTCGCATATTTGTGCATTTTGTTTTATAATAATTTCTATCGTTTCTAAAAAAAAAAACTTGTTTTGACTTTACCAATTACGATTCGTAGGAACAATGGTCAAACGTGTTCTCGGCTGTCGTCTCGAGAGGGATCAATTTGCAAGTCATTTCACCTGGAGTGGGTGGAAGTTACAATGAAGCTATACACATGGTAAATTAAAACATATATCATGCTCCTTATAAATCATGATTCTCATGCATATACCGTGAATGAAATGTGTATTTGGGTTGCAGATTAATGCGGAATTCCAAGTTCCTTCACCACTTGTTCCGACCCGTGAAAGCTACTTCGTGAGATACTGCAGACAAGACGTGGAAGGCACATGGGTTGTGGCGGATGTTTCTCTAGATCAATTATTGCAGCCGCCTATTCCTTTTGTTTCATGCCGTAGAAGACCCTCGGGCTGCCTAGTCCAACAAATGCCAAATGAACATTCTAAGGTACATGACTTTTTCTTTATCAAAATACATGTGTAAAAAGAAAATTATTTTGTGATGCACGATGAATCTTCAACTTGATTAGATGATGTCAATTTCCAGCAGGTAACATGGGTTGAGCACGTTGAGGTAAAAGAAAGAAGTGGTGAAAGCATATACAAGCCTCTAATTACGGCTGGTCTTGCATATGGGGCCAAACGTTGGGTTGCCATTCTCGACGCACACTCTCAACGTGCAGCCAAAGCTGCTGAAATTCCTCCACCTCACCTCAATTGCTTAGGTAAATCATCACTACTTCACCTTCTCAATGTTATATTCTTTATTTGATTTATATAATCTCATATATTATCATCTACTCATATTTCTCTCTATTCTTTTTTTTTTTAACTAGGTGCTTTGATTTTTTTAGCAGAGCTATATATTTGTTTGAAGTATCTAAAGCTATAATTGGCTATAAATTGTTGTAATGACTAAAATCTCAATTCCAACAATTTGGAAAAAAATGGGTTGGGGGAGTAGAGTATGCAACGCGTATAAGTACACAATTAACTGGACGTGACAATTAATAAGTTTGTTTTCAAGGAGCGTTTCACTACCATTCGTAGCTCTTTTATTAGCGAATCAGTTGTCTCTCGTAGTATACAGTTTGGAATTACAAGTAAAAGAATTTAGTGCTAAACCTACCATAACTATACCCAATACTACTAATTATTTCTCCGCCCGCAACGTTGACTAAGCAACTACTACTGGATAATATCCAAAGGTACAAAGACTTATGTTTCAGTCCTTCAGAGCTGTAGGGACATAATTGAAATTTAAAAACAAAAAAAAAAAACAAATAAAAACAAATATATATAATAATCTCAATAACTCTAAGATAATATAGATTAACTCAATATGCTCAAAGAATACAATAAAACTCAATTGTTATCTTTGGATTTTGTTATCTAATGTATTATAGAGAATGATAAATCCTAACTAGGTAAGGACACCTTAAGTTGACATGATCTTCAACATCCTTCCTTCAATGTAAGTTTTCTTCAAGTAGTATCCGTGTATGTGATTTGAAAATCTTCATAATTGCGTTTCAAAAATTTTGCAGGAGCATAACTTTCCATTTATTCTTCCAAATCTAAGATATATTGCGTTGAATTGTTCCAAATCTTCTTTGGGTCTTCTCCAAAACGTTTAAGATCCTTTATATGTGGCAACTCATCCTTTTATAGTTCTTGTCACTTATTCGCTATCATACAAGAGAGATAAAACAAAGTTATAGAATGAAATTTAACTCATTAATAGAAGCAGGATATATGGTAAGTGAATATATGTGAGATATATATTATGTGATCGTTCTCCTATAGATTTTAATCTCAATAATACATACTAAATAAATATATATCATCTATATCTATATAATGGACGAATCTTTATTGCCATAATTGGCATGATTTTGGGCGGCAAAAATTTTCGACTATATTTGGCATTTAATTAAATTTATTTATTAGCAAATATAATGCAAGAAAAACATAATTAATTTTTATACACTCAATAACAATTACCCATTGACTACAACTTGGCGTAAATTGAATTTTGACTGTAAATTTATTAGATATATTTTTAATAAGATCTTATATTAATTTAATAGTAACTTATTGACACAATTCAAAACATTATTAAGGAAATTGATTTCATTAAATATATTTCATATATAGTTGTAGATATCAATTTAATTAATTATATTCACTATTCAAAAGTATTTAAAATATTGAATAAAATATATTCAAAATAACTATGTTTAAATCATACTAACTTAATAATAACCAAAAAATAATAATAAAATTTTTTGAAAGTCAATTTAACTATAAAAAGGTACATCTAATTGAATATATCATATGCAGTGATAATACTATTGAAAAATTTAAATAATATACTAATAAAAATTAAATTTGATGGTCAGGTGCAATTCAAAATTATAAATTTTACCTTAAAAGTATCCATGTACATTAAAAAACTATTCAATTTTTAAAATATATGTTTTTCTTATATACTATTTTATAAACGAAAAAAAAAGATAAATATCAATGTATAATAGTTTAAATTATTGCACTTGGTAATTATGGAAATACATAATATATCTAAATATTCGAATAGATACTCTGTAACTCATTATATATATTGAAAAATGAATTAAGAAAATAAATATAAATAAAAAATAAAAACACAAAAATAAATATTTAACGATTAAAAATTTGTGCGTTGCATAAGGATTAAAGTTATTAAAAATTAAAAGCTTATCTATCAAAGCTTTTAACATTTAATGCAGTTAATAATTGTAGCAAAAGATAAATATTATGGGTTAAACGTTGGTTAATTATCACGCAATGTGCAAATTATGAATTGTTGAATAAATTATAAGACTATAAACGAAAATTTTATATGTACATACAATTAATTTGTATGCAAATATCATATAATCTTATACATTTAAAATATTTTATAAACTTATAAATAATAAATTTGATATATTAAATAGTCAAAATATACAATATATATGTATAATAACAATAAGAATAAATAAATAAATGTCATATTATTACTGAATAGAGTATTTTGGAGAATATAATTTCATAGTGTCTTAAATAATTTTATAATATTTAAATAAAAAATAAATTTCATAATGTACTTCGTGCATCGCACGGGTATCAACACTAGTGTATTATTAATAATAAATCCTAGAAATTTAATTAATTTACAAAAAATAAAGGGCAATGCTATATGTACACCCCTTTTTAATAAATTACACAAAGGGCAATGCTATATGTACACCCCTTTTTTACACACAAGGGGGTGTACATATAGACACCCCCAAAATAAAGTGTAACTTTTCTTCACTTTATTTTATTTTACTTGCCTAACAAAAAAATCTTGTAGAAAATGCTTAGACTTGATGGACGATGTCAAACCTATATTTTAAAACAAACAATGTGTCACACAACATGAACATTAATTTGCATGATTCACATTTCGGTACAGCAGAGCTTGGGAGTAGGAAAGGCATGTTGATTATTGCAGAAAGAATGGTGACAAGGTTTTGCCGTGGTGTTAATGCATCAAATGGAAATTCGTGGTCAACCCTCTCGGGGAACGCCAATGACGCAGTCAGAGTTTTGAGTCGGAAGAATGTGGATGACCCCACCATGCCCTTTGGCATTCACCTCAGTGTCGCAACTTCTTTATGGCTTCCTGTCCCTCCGAAGATCGTCTTTGACTTTTTGCGAGATCACCAAAACCGGAAACAGGTCAATGAGCAATATTTATTTCCACTATCCCTTTATTTGTGGACTGCAGTTTACACTGTTATTACAGTGTTATTACAATGTAATAATAATATTGTTGTGATGCCATGCCAGTGGGACATTCTTTCAAATGGAGGCGAGTTTAAGGAGGTGATGCAGATTGGGACTGGGAATGAGTTGGGAAATTGTATTTCCGTATATCAAGTAAAGGTACGGTGATGAAAATATATAAATACATTGTGTACGTAGCCATTTTGTTTATATATACAGTTAATTTGTGACAAGCAGAACAATCACCAATAATAATGTTTGTTCTAATTAACTTAACTTTTTTCTCATAATTAATAAATACTTGGTTAATTTAATTTGACATAAAAATTTGTACAAATCATTCCCTCTCTAGGTACATACATACATACATATAAATCATGTTAATTAATTAATTATAATTGTAGGGTGGGAGCGGAGAGGTGACAATGTTGCAAGAAAGTCGTATGGATCCAACTGCATCTTACGTTGTTTATGCTCCAATAGAGAAGATGGTGGATCCAAGTTCGATGCCCTTACTTCCATCAGGATTCGCTATTCTCCCAGACGGTCCCACAGTCGGACGACATTCTTCATCACAACCTGCTCATTCCGGAGGATCTCTGCTGACTATTTCACTTCAGGTTCACACATTCTCTCTATATATATAAATATATTCCCCTTTAGGATGGGAATAAATAAATATAGTAATAAATAAACAAATCTTTCTGTAGCAGGTGTTGCTTAACTCAGCTCCAAATGCAAAGCTATCTATGGTATCATTTTCGGTAGCCGGCAAACTTATCAGCTCCACGGTCGACAAAATAAAACATGCACTGCTTCCCAAGTCCTCACAGGGTAACATATTACTCTATATTAATCCATCCTTATTAGATGACAATCAACTCACACTTGTATGAAATCAACAAGAAAGGAAAGATTAATTGAAGAACAGATTGTTTGTGATACACGAGAGATGAACCGATGTAGAGAGAAAAANAAAAAAAAAAAAAAAAAGTGGTTTAGTATAATAATGCATCACCTAAAATGTCCTCAAACTAAAAATGTTTTTTATGAAAAAAAAATTGTAAATATCGTTAAATAACCTATTAAAAATGAAAATCCAATGAGTTAAAACTTGAGGGAACTGAATGGCTTAAGTGGACGATATCCATTTTATTTAACCCACAAGTCAATCAACCAAACTTGTACAAAAATTCAATGGAACCATCGGATAGTTTTTTTATAGAGTCATTCACCACTTAATGTATTGACACATGTCCAAATTATATTTATTGTAGGACATGTGTTGATACACAATCGGTTAATAAGCGTGGATGGCTCCATAAATCGAGTCATCCGATAACTCCATAGCAAAACTGCAAACTTGTATGTGTAGCGCACCAATCGAATATAGGGACATCTTGTTTATTATTTATTTTTGCAGTTTAGTTGCACTTAAATTTTCAATGCTCGACAAGTCCTTCGGGATTAATTGGACGTCAGTGTCTATTTAATCCGTAAAGAGAAATAATTTATTTAGTGTCTATTTAAATTGTTCAAATTTTTTTAATATTCGTTATCTATTTTATTTGATTTATTTATTTGAGTAGCAGTCGAAGCCGTTTTAAGTCTGTTTTTGGCTCCGTCAATTTTATTAGCTCTCGATTTCTTAGTATTATTCGAGACCAATATCTAGCATAATTCAGCCGTTTGATCAGCTTATAATTCTCGGCCTTAAGCTTGAGAGAATCGAGACCAATATGGATGGTTTTCATTTCTATTATTGGGCATGGCTTTGTTTAGGATTAATTCTTTTATTAGATAATATGGCTCAGCAATTTTCAGTTCAATCGCGTAGAACCCTTTTTGGTCCGTTTCGACTCGTTTTCGGGTCATTTTAATCCAAAGCTTGGATATTCATTCATGACCCAAGTCCCTTTTATTTTTCGGCCCATTGGACCCAAAAATTCGGCCAATGCCTTCGGAAATCTCCTCATTTCCTTAAAATTTTGTTAACTCCTTTACCATTCAAATTTCAAATAATTCCCAAGGCCTTTATGGTACGTTGGACCAGCACCATTCTCTCTATCTCCTCTGCCGTGTTTAGCCCTAACTAGTATTCGGTCCTGTGCATTTGCACAGATGTAAATAAAGTATTGTGAGTTATTTGTACACATATAATGATTAATTATTTTTCTTTCACCTTTTTGCTGGCTAAATTTACAATTAAAGGAGTTAAAATATATATATATATTTTTTTTTTAATTTGCGTTTATCTGATCGGATGTTATGTATATTTTTGTATGTCTTTTTTTATAAATTATTTATTATTTATTTAAGAATTCAAATATGTTTTTTATTTAAAAAAAAATAATAATTTAAATGTGACCACAATAATAACATCTAATCACATTATACGGCCAACACATTATATGGTCAACTATCAGTAATCAAAAGTTGAAAATGATTTTTGTAATTTTGAAGTGATTAGTGTTGATTATTTAATAATTAAATGAAATATTAAATACATCAAAAGTAACGGTTATTGGAGGGAAAATGATTGAATTGCCACATAGGTAAAATTAAATGGGTTTTATTAAATTCTATTAGCTAGTAATTATATATATATAGAAGAGACTTAAGCCATATTTCGTGTCGTAGTCCAACCGAACCTTCTGTTGCCTTTCGTTGTTTAAGCCAAGAAAGGTATTGAGCACTAGCCTTTAGCCCTCGATTTTGGCTAAGATTTATGTGTAATTACGTGAATTTTGGTATGTGTTATTATGTGGCTTAGATTCAGGGATTTATGGTTTATGAGCATGGCTTGAGATTATTAAGTTTAAATATTTGGAATCCTTGAATTTGCTGCAACTTTGAATCGAGATTCGCCCTAGCTATTCATGTCCAATCAATTTGAAATTTTACAGGCTATTTCTTGCATGTGTTGTGATTAGGCATGTCAAAATTCAGGACATTTTGTTGAGAATAGCATTCTGTAGATCGATCTGAGCATAAACATGTTAGTTTGATTTGAATTTTCTGTTTTACCTGCGGTTTCGATTGATTATATCTCTGACCATGATCATGATATAAATCTGAAAATTTACAGGCTATTTCCTGTATGAATGGTGAACATGTATGTCAAATTTCAGATTTTTTTTTTTTATGATTATAGCATGTTGTAGACCTATTTGAAGTTGGATTTGTCGGTTCAAATCCCTATTTTCTAGCTGCCACTTCGAATGGTTATATCTCAGTTTATGATAATGCAATCAATCTGAAATTTTTATGACATTTTTGTATATGTGTTAAAAGTATGTGCATCACATTTTATCCCCAGATGATGTGAATTGAGTGATTTAAAATATTAGAGTCTCAGCATGTCAGTCTGCACCTAGGTTCGATATATCTCAGTATACACTCATGATATTGGTTCGTAATTTTTATGAGTATGTTTTGTATGAGTTGTGATTATGTATGTAAATTTTTAGCCTCATATGATAAGTGTAGAATTTTAGATAAATTCTTGCAGCAACAGGTGTCAATATCTTGTTTATATGTGAAGTTTAGCTTCAAAGTTAACCAGCCTAATGACATGCTTTTGGCCTGAATTTTTTAACTGGAGATACTTGAACATGTTGACAATTTACCGGCTAAGTTTCAGCATGTTATGAGATGTGTGTGAATATATGATTTTTGGAGTTTAAGGGTCTCTTTAGCCTTAGTGGATTAAGGTATTTGTGAACCTTTAATAATAAAAATTATTAATTGTAGTTTAACGAGGAGTCGAGCCCTCTGTCTACCTTCTGCTGATCATTATGTATCTGTCTATCTGGACTGATCAGATGGGTGTTGCTAAACTTTATTGCACAATTATTCTTTATAATTGCTAGGTTCGATAATCAATGTATGTACTTGAACCATGACCCTAACGTCGGATGCGGTTTTGACCTTCGATATGGTATCCCCATCGGCGGATGCGGATTCAACCGTTGACAGTGCTTAATGAGAGGCATTCTCTGTTATAGCCTAACGAGAGGCCATGTCTTTGGATGTGGGTTTGACCATTGACATGTGCTCCCGCTGTTGGATGCGGATTTGACCTTCAACGGTTATAAGTGTACACTTAAGGATCTAAGATGTGATATTAGTTGTTATTCATATACCTGTTGCGATTATGTTTTCTGTTATTATACTGAATAGATTGTACAATAATTCTCATGGTGAGCTAGTGGTTTGCTCATCCTCATTTTCCTCCTTTCAGGTTGAGCTGGTCGTGAGGAGAGACGGATGAGTGGATGGTCATTTTACTAGCTTTCTATTTATGACTGAAAACTGCTTCCGCTATGACATGTTTTATTTAAAACTGGGATTTGATGTTTTAACATGTTTATGTCATGGATTGATTTATTGATGATTGCAAGATTATGATTATAAATTTATGTTTTAACTCATATGCATGGGATGTGTTGGGCAATGAGTTCCCGAAGGCTCAGATATGACTTGAGCTATTGAATTTTAAAAATTTACCCTTGATTTTTAGAAATTTTTGAATTTTCTTTAAAAAACCAACGGGGCGTTGCATTAAGAGAGATTTTTTTTTTTCATTCTCTTCAATTTTCCTTGATCGCAACCGCCAACCGTTGTCCTTCCTGCTTTCCGGTGACCACCAGCCGCCGTCAAGAGCCCACCGTCGTGTCCATCGCAATTTGCCGAGAAAATCCAGCCGTCGTTTGCGAGCCCCCAACCACGACCTGTCGCCCTGCCTTTTGCGAAGGAGCCATTTTTATGGCGACCTCAGCAGCTACTACCAAGTAGCTTCGTTTCCCAGCGACCCTCATCCTCACCACACGACCACCTCATTCGCGAGCTCTTAGCCACTGCGAGTCTGTGGCCAATCGTTGAGCAAAGCAGTATTTGAGGCATCGTTCTTTCATTTCGTCGTCCGATTTTCAACCGAGCACTAGATTCCCGAAGGAAGGTAATCAGACAAATCTTCGTTATATTCCTGCGTGCTCATGTTCTATTATCATTCGATTATTGTTGTTCTCATGAACTGTTTCTCGTCGTTTGCGTTGGATTATTTATCGGTTTGTACATTCGTTTCGTTCGTCGTGTTGTGATTCGTGAAATTTTCATGGATATTCAGACTCACGTTTATTGCAAAAATCGTCGCCTCTCTTTTGCTGTAGTTGTTGAGGTTAAATCATATTTAATTTTGGAGTCTCATTTTATTGTTCCGAACTTTGTTGTCGTCGTTTTGTTGTTCGATTATTTTCTAGTCGTATTGTGTTGTTTCGTTTTTCGATCCAAAACCTGGTTTTAATAATACTCTCTAAACTCTGAAATTTATTTTATTTTATTTTCTTGAAATTTTTGAACTATTGTCGTAGCGAAACGTCGTCGGAGTATTTTTTTCGGTTTTGTTGCCGTCCGCAGACCCCTTTTTCCCAGCCATTTTTTGGCCTCAACTAGCAGGCCCTTTTTCTTTTCTTTTTATCATGTCAGAAGTCCAACGCGCGTCCCTCTCCTTTTCTTCCCAGCGGCCCATTAGTTTTGCCCCAGCAGCCCGCTATTGGAGGCCCAAACTCGTGCATCCCACTTCGCAAAGAGAGAAAACGCGCAGGCCATCCTGGCCCACATACAGCCCGCGTGCGGCCGCATTATGTCAACAGCTTCGGCTCGTGAGCCCGCGTCCGGCCGTTCAGCAGCCGCGTGCTGCAGCCTTGTATCAGGCCCCTCTGCGGCCCAATGTGTGCATACGCGACCCAATTATCTCTCCCTGGTGGCCCATTTCACGCGACAATGGCCTAGCAGCCTGTGGCTACTTCCAAGTGCGGCCCTTTTGGCCATTTTGAGTGTCGGGAGCTATTTTCGCGCCAAACCCATTTTTAATTATTAGATAAAAATGAGAAAAGTCTGGAAATTATTGTTTTAATTCCCGTTACTTTTTTTGTTGTCGAATCTTATCCTTTTAAAATTTTTTAGAGTTGCAAGTACACGAAAAATCTGATAAAATCCCTTAATCATTGTTTGTTGATTAAGTATGGTTTTTCTATTTTTTTCTGAGTAGTGAGATAAATTATTGATATGTTATCTCTCTTAAATGTAGGTTTCTAATGAGCCGAGCCTTAATCTACCAAGTCGCTTGTGCTTATCCAATATTCGGAACTGACCAGGTGGGAGTTGATAAACTTACTGTGTCATTATTCTTTATAATTGCCATGTCCCAAAATATATGTATGTACTTGAACCATGGCCCTATCGTGTGATGCGGATTCGACCTTCGATACGGTATCCCCGTCTGCATATGCGGATTCGACTGTCGAAGGTCCCTAATGAAAGGCAACCTCCGTTATAGGCTAATGAGAGGCTGCCTTTGGATGCGGATTCGACTAATGTGCTCCCGTTGTTGGATGCTGATTCAACCTTCAGCGGTTATATAAGTGTATACTTGAGCGTTTGAGATGTGATATTAGTTGTGATTCGTATACATGTTGTGGATTATATTTTCTGTTATTACACTGAATATATGTGCACAGTAATCCCATGGAGAACTAGTTGATTTGCTAACCCCCATTATATTATCTCTTTTCAGGTTGAGTTGGTGTCGAAACGAGACGGACGAGTGGAGGGTCATTTTACTCGCTTTCTGTTATGATTTGAACTGCTTCTGCTAAAACTCATGTTTTTCTGAAAATTTGGAATTAATGTGTTGAACATATTGATGTCATGACTTGGATTTATTTATGATTACGAGATTATGATTATGATGTGATGTTTATCTCGTATGCATGTGATGTGATTTGGGCAATGAGCTACTTGTGAAATTTTTTGAGTACCGCCATTAAATGTTTGAAATCGAAAAATGAATTTCAAAAAATTAATCTTAATTTTAGGAAAAATCCAAAATTTTCCTTAAAACTTATCGGGGTGTTACATTAATATAAATAGGGAGACCATGTATTGAAATATCGTGTAACCCATTTTCTAATCAAATATTATGTTTTATGTATTTAATATGTAATTATAACATCTTAAATGTGAAATTCCTATATTTATAGGACTGTGACTTTGATGTGATTTATTCTAAGTTGTTCGCCGTGTATATTATTTCGATGCTTAAAATGTGATAATTGTTGTAAATTGGAACTCTTAATCTTCAACAAGCATCCATCAATCCAAGCATAAAAGATGTGTAGTGAAGAAAATGATAAAAGAGAAGCAGAAAAGTGTGTACTTTTATTCATCGGTATATCACCCTTTTATAGAGTTTACAAGAGAGAAACCCTAAAACCTAATTTTCCTAACTAATGGATTTCAGGCCCAGTTATATATATTAGTAATGTCCATATTAATATATTTATAACACTCCCCCTTGGACATTACTACATGTCTCATTAAAAACCTTACTAATAAAAACCCGACAGAGAAAAAAAAAATAGTATAGGGAAAAAGAGTACATGATTTATAAAAATCATGTGTTTTACTAGCTGCCTCGTTAAAAACCTTTAATAATAAACCCACAGGGAAAAACTTAGTTACAGAAAAACGAGTACAACATTTGGTCTTCAAGACCCAATCTTCAGTGAATAGGTCTGTTAAGTTCATATTGGTGAATATGGTCTTCAACCCATAGGGATCATATTGAGTTTTTTCCCTCCCCCTGAAGACAATAGTCTTCCCAGTTTACGCATACCAATACCATAAATGTATTTTTTAAAAGTGTATGTAGGGAGGGATTAGGTGAATAGGTCTGCCAAGTTCTCACTAGACCTTACTTTTTGTACAATAATCTTGGAGCAATGTGGGTAAAAGAATGTTGGAGCAATGTGTTTTTCCTGCTTGCTTTGACATACCCATTATTCATTTGTAAAACACAAGCTACATTGTCCTCATAAAGGACAGTGGGGGTTACATCATTTGTAATTCCACATGATCCGCGAATATGTTGGATTAAATATCTTAACCATACACATTCGCATGAAGTCTCGTATAAAGAAATTATTTCTGAATGGTTTGAAGATGTAGTAACCATGGACTGCTTGACCGACTTCCAAGAGATTGCAGTACCACCACAAAAAAAAATAAAAATAAATAACCAGTCTGTGATCTAGCGTTATGGGGATCAGACATATAACCAGCATCCGAATAGCCCACCAATGTCATATCTTGATTTTTCTTATAAAGTAAACCAAGATCTTGTGAACCTTGAAGATACCTAAAAATATGTTTAATACCATTCCAGTGTCTCCTCGTAGAAGAAGCACTAAACCTTGCTAGCAAGTTTACTGCAAATGCAATATCAGGCCTGGTGCAATTTGCAAGATAAAGTAACGCGCCAATGGCGCTCAAGTAAGGAACTTCTGGTCCTAAATTTTCTTCGATATCTTCTTTAGGTCTAAATGGGTCCTTATCCACTTCAAGGGATCGGACAACCATTGGTGTGCTAAGTGGATGAAATTTATCCATGTAGAATTTTCTAAAACCTTCTTCAAGTAGGTTGACTGGTGTACAAATATTCCTTCAGGGAGATGCTCAATCTGCAGGCCGAGACAATATTTGATTTTACCCAAATCTTTCATTTCAAACTCCGTCTTTAGGCATGAGATAGCTTTATCAAGCTCCCTCGTGTGCCAATTATATTTATGTCATCGACATAAACTGAAATGATTCAAAAGCCATTCGTTGACTTCTTTATGAACACACAGGGGCACACGTCGTTATTCACATAATTATTTTTCAACAAAAACTCACTCACCCGGTTGTACCACATTCTACCTGACTGCTTTAAGCCATATAATGACTTTTATAATTTAATGTTATACATGTTGCGCGTTTCATTTTCCCTTATTTTGGGAACCTTTAATCCTTCAGGGATTTTCATATATATATATATATATATATATTTGTGTTTAATGACCCATATAAATATGCGGTCATGACATCCATTAACTGCATATCTAAATCATAGTTACTGCCAGAGATATCAAATAGCGGAACGCTATTCCATCCATTACAAGAGAATATGTTTGATCAAAATCAATATCGGGTCTCTGCGGAAACCCTTGCGCAACTAATCTGGCTTTGTATCTCACCAAATCATTTTCATTTATCTTTCGTAAAAACACCCATTTATATCCTAATGGGATAACATTTTGAGGTGTAAGCGCAATAGAGCCAAAAACTTTTCGTTTATTGAGCGAGTCTAGTTCAGCCTCAATTGCGTCTTTCCATCTTACCCAATCGGAGCACTTCCGGCACTCTGCAATTGATTTAGGTTCTAGATCCAGATTATTAGAGATGGTAAAGGCAACAATAGAGACAAATGTGTCGTCAACGATTATGTTACTTCTGTTATAAGTTTCTCCAGTATCAACAAAATTTGTAGCTACTTCAATATTCACATCAACCAGATCTTCATCATTTTCCCAATATATTTTGATCTGGATGTTCCGCAATCCTAGAATTTTTATTATTTGTCGCACGTGCATTTAAACTAGGATTTCGCCTTCTAGACGATTCTCTTCTGGAGAATTCAAGAGTGATTCAATATTCTTATTAGATTTTGTTTTCCGCGGATTATTGTCTTTTGTACTATCAAGTCTACCACGCTTCTGGCGTGGAGCATCAATAGGAATATTAGTTCTCATGGGGACTTCCACTCGTTGTGGTGCATTTATAGAAGGTACATGTGATTTGGTGACTCCTTTATGATCAGTAAATACATCTGGCAAATTATTTGCTAAATATTGCAAATTAATTATATTTTGAACATCAAGTTCAGTTTGATTAGTGCGTGGATCTAGATATTGTAGATTTTCTACCTTCTAAGAAATTTCTCGGCATTTGTTTGAGTTTGGGCTTTTATCTCCCCCTAATGCCGGAAAATTCTCTTCATCGAATATGCAGTCAGCGTAC